AAACATTGATAAAACCATAAAGCATATTATTTTATTAGAGGAATGGCTTTCCAATAAAATTAGACCTCATGACTAATATCATGTCACTTATTTTCCTAGATTACTTTGCAGTGTTCCTTCAATCAATATTTGTCCATTCTGATCTATCTATGCTAAGGCAGATGTGACACTGAGGGAATGATTCAAGGTCATAATTACCTGGAACAATTAATAGGTCCCTCTAGCTGCCTATCACGAAGGTTACCATTACGGCAATTTAGATTTTGTCTCTTCTCTTTTACTCTGTCTGCTATTTAATGTCAAGTGAAACAACTTACAGACAGCTTTGAAGGGGACTGAAATGAGGACATTAATAATCTACAAGAAAGATGAAATAATCACTAATCAAAAGAACTGGCAAAGGCTTTGGACTTCTAAATGTGTGTTTTAATATTTAAAACTCTAAAATGTTTCCTTTTAATTAGTCAGCTCTAATGCATTTAAGCTCATGTTGTGAGCTTTCTTTAAAAATTGGGAAACTACTTAATTACAATACTCACTTCTTAGTAGGCAGCTTTTATTTTTGATATAAGCAAAGGATCACAGAGGTGGGCAACGGTGTGACCAAATGGTCATGTGTCCAGTCTTCAAGTGCAAAAAGACGAGTCTAAATGCTCAATCATCTCTTCCTAGTTTTATGACCTTTGATACCCTTTCCATTCTATAAAATGAAGATATAAAAGGCCTCATATCATAATGGTATTGTGAGAACTAAATTAGAAAATGCATATCTGACACTTAGAGCAGTACCTGAGCCTTTGTAATCATATATTATTGATGCTATTATTATATATTGTGTTGTATTACTAAAACATTTTCTGTAGCTTGGTTACTCTGGTGGAGAATAAAATTATTATAATAGTTGTAAAAACTATATGTTTTGGTATGACTTTTGAAGTTTTTTCCCGGGTTGCTAACCATCTTTCAAATAATTACTGTGAATGTAAAATATAGTGCTGTATGATTATTAAGAATGAAAGATCATTTTTAAAGTGGTAAGAATAATTTATTACTTATTTGAATGCAAACTCACACTCCGAAATTAGGAAGGAGATCTAGCCTATCTCTTGTAAATATTCATAGGCAATAAAAACTCAGGCGGTTTGATTGATTTAACTAGCAACTGAAAGCTACCTTAGGTCTGCATAATTGCAGCTGTAAGAAACATTAGGTAGGCGATAAAAAAAATACAAACTTCTGACATAGGCATTTAATTGAGAAGAAAATGGGTTAATGCTCATCTTTAAATGAAAAGGCTCTCTATTGATAGAAAAATCTCTTTTTCTTTAGCCAGCAAAAAACCAAGAATATATAGCTTAAAACAAATTCAGAATTCTTGACTGTCACATATTTATGTACAACATGATCTTAAAAAATCAATTTTAAAACAATGTTATTGTAGTCATTTTGTTTCTTCAGCTCCTCAGATAATTTATCCCAAGGTTCCATCTACTGCATCAAAACACCAGTCTTTTTAACTAGATAGTCAGTGGGAACATCCAAAGAATTGATTTAGCTAGCAGATTATTAGGTGTTTCTTTATTACCTAAGTAGTTTGGAATTGGTCAAAGTGCCCATCTTATAGTCTGAGAAGTACAAAAGCCCGATTACTATCTATCATTTTACTCAATATTGTGTCTTTAAAGTCACATCAGCTTATTAAAGAACAGCACAACAGAATTTGAGAAGAATATTATCTTTAATGTGATGTGGTTTCCATGAAAGCCCTGATGCACCAAATATGCTTCATTTTCATTGTCAAATAACTGTGAGAACATTATTGGCTAAATATCTAATATAAGTATAGGCAGGACTAATAGTTTCTAGTATATTTATTTCACATATTTATTGTTATTTTAGCATTATGCTTAATTGACTATTGAATTAGAAGTAGAACCCCTTCCAATTTGAAGACATAGGATATTTTAAATCCCTTTTTCTCTCTTATGCATTTTATATAATAAATGGGTACATGTACATTTCACTATTTTGCATATTTTAATATATGTATTTGTTCACCAATCCCTCCACTTTGTGGGGTATTCACACACATATGTGTACAAACATGCACACAAACATTCTTTTAAGAATGAGTACTCTAGCATACGTTCCTGGCACCATAGTAAACACTTACAATGCGATATTTTATATTTTGCTCACAAGAAACCACTACAACTGAATCTATTATCACAAATGAGGAAGTGTTATCCAAGGTCACAAAGCCGATTAATTGTAGAGGGATATGTTAGTTATCATTTTATTGTCTTTCAACACTGTCCTGTTTTTGATACTGGAACACTTCTCCCTTTACCAGCTGACATGATGTAAAGCATTGTCAGTAAAGGGCGCTGGAGTGACAATGGAAGAAGTAAAGATTTCTCTGTTCATGTGCTTTTTTAATTCTCATTCCTGTGGCTCCAGATAGGCCTGTGGTATGCCCAGTACAGCTCATTTAATCACTACATCCCTTTCTTCACCAAGAGTTTCAGAAATATCCTCATGGCAGTGCCTGATAAGTTCAATCAGTGCCTGAGCAGCAAGCTTAGCATGGATCGCAAATTAACAGGCTTCTGGAATGCCATCTGGTTTTTCCAAGTTCAGTGGCTTTCCAGCAAGTCCAATGGGTACACCAGCCAGCTTCCCAGCAAATTCAGCAGCATGCTACATGGGCTACTTTCCTGTGAATTTTGTCAGCACTCCACCCCAATATTCTCTTCGCATTAGCTTCAGCCAACTGACTATGGACTAGCTCAGAGTCAGGTCAACTAAGCAAATTTCTTTGCCATCTCAGGGGCTGCAGATGCACTCCTTCCAAATAGACTTCAGAGTTTTGAATTTAATCTTGGGTAGAGAGTTTATTTTTCCAAGTCAGTTTGCTTCTTAGGTAATATTCATCAACCCTAGGGCATTCTTTAGAGTTCTCTTTTATCCTTTCTTAAAAATTAATTCCCAGTAAATTGTTAATATTTCCTTGCATTAAACTTTCCCTATTCAAGTCACTGTGTAGTTTCTGTACCCTGTCTGGACCCTAACTAATACAAGGGGCTAGCTTAATTCAAGTTTTTCTGTCTCAAAATTCCATGCTTTAGCAACTCAGTCTGGAATATTGTAGAATAGGTACTCAATCAAAGTTTGTTGTTGAATCAAATTGTTACTTATTGGGAAAATATCAGGTTTCATACCAAAGCCTTTTGAAGTATAAGGTCATAAGTAATTTGCAGTAATAAAGGACCGCAAGGTCATTACATAAATAGAGCTGATATCAAAATCAGGTTAGAGAGTAATCTATTTCTATGGACAGCGAGAAATGTTAAAGATTAAAACTTCGCAGCAACTTGGATGGATTTAGAGTCTATCATACTCAGTGATCTATCACAGAAACAAAGAACAGAGTACCATATGTTCTCATTCATAAGCGGACCTTGAACAATTACAATACTATAAGAAAGCATTTGGCAGTAATGGGAAACTGTAAGGGGAGGGGGCTGGGATTGGCAGTTGAGGGAAACAAATTGCCAGGGAAGGGGTGGCCCATCTCATCAACAAGGGTACCTGCATAATGAACATTTGTACACCTAACCCTGAATTGTACCCCACATCCTTTAAATAAAAAATTTAAAAGTTAAAAAAACTTTAATCTTTTTGCAGCTAAGCCAAAGTCGCTTTACAAGTTAATTTTTATTTTTTGCCCAAAATACAATCTTTTACCTGACACTAATATTCAAATACAAATAAAAACATATTCCAATTCGATACCAAAATTCAAATTTAAATGACCTTCAATATAGTTACCACCTAGGAATGTCTACTTTTACTCACATCTAATAACAGTGCAACAATGGTGAAGGACCAAGGGACTGTTTGGAATTCTTTTCTAGTCCCTGACCCCTTAGGTTGATGTAGAAAAACTACTCACCAATATAAAGGCAGGATTAAGGATTGGATGCTATTGCTGGCACATTTGCATGGATCTGCTCCACCCTCCTACTTCTTTTCAGGATCAGAGAGAGAAGAGGTTCTCCTACTCAGGAATTTCCTTTCAATTGCCTACTTAAATTTTGAACAGTTTCTTATAAACTTCGCTAGTTACTACTATTATTAATCTCTTTAGTTTCTTTACACCTTATAATATTGCTTATTTTTATGTCGTGCACATGCTAGGTAATAACATTTTTTGCATAACTAATCAATATATTTGTTATGAAGAATATAATTTTTTCTTACATAGTACCAAATCATAGAACAATATCCCACTTGTAGAAGAGGCACTCAGTACATGGATACAAAACTAAATATTTTTATGAAATAGGTTTTCTTCTTGACAAATAATTCATTCTTGACTTAGGAGAGAGTATGCAAACATTGTTTGACTAGGCAAATTATATTAATTTACTTTAATTTTGATAGGAAAAATCATGCAGTGTGTGAATTAAGAACTATGAACATTCACACATTATATATAAATAATAACATTTTGTATTATTGGGGAAGAATGAGCAATATTTGAGATACTAATGGAGTTGCATATATTATCAGCTGATTACATGTGACTGTAACAAAACATCTGTATGTGGGGGGAGAGAGAGAAAGAGAGAAGAAGAAGGGAAGAAGATACTCATACGTGTTGGTTACTCTTGAGTAGGGAAATAAACTTTGTGGTCAGGTAAGATCAGACTTTGAATTCTTTATTAACTATTTATTAATACATAGACCTGAGAACATTAGTATTCTCAGTATATCTCAGTTACTTGTTATAAATTTTAGTTTTTAATGTTTTTGTAAGACCAAATTATATAAAACACATGTAAAGAATTCAGCCAGTGTCTGGCATTAGATGGATGGTCTCTAAAACCTGGAAGCTGAGCTAATGTTTAAAGTACTACTCATTTTATCTGAGAGGTCTGAATCTGCTACACATTTATGCAAATTAGATTAAAGACATTTTTCACTTATCCTCATACCTCTTCATGTAGTTCCCTCCAACGAGAATTAAATGTCTCAAGTTCCTCATTGATCAGTTCATCCATGACTCCACCATCTGTTAGGGTCTGTGCCAGTATGCGAATCTGATTTGGATTATCCTCTGAATGTTGCATCAAATTTTCAAGTGACTGAAACACATTTGCAATAATTACTATTTTTCATCCTTTTCTAGATACATTGAATTAATACAAAATGCTCAGTATTTTCTGATTTACACATAATTAAGCCATAAGCAATTTATACTAAAATTTAATTGGGATAATAAAACATGAAGGACATTTTTGTTTCAAAAAATATGTTATTCTGTATGATTATTCATGGAGTAGGTCAGAATTGTGAACTGAGCACTTGAAAAATGATTTACAGTTCCCTTCTTCCTTGATGTCTTCTATTTTAAAACCTAGGAAGGTAAAATATTCAATCACTCAATTTCTCTTACAGCTAGTGGTAGCCAGTTGACATGATTCTGGAAATATGTGCAGATTGAAATACATGAGCAGGTTTCCTTCCTAAATGAAAAAAAGGAACATTATCTCAAGAAGAAATTCCTTTGCCCTTCGCACTTTTTCATACACACATGGCCTGGAGGTCAACCAGCGAAATACAGAGTGCGAGACAATAAAAACGAGACCGAGGTACTTTGTGCTCAGGAAAGGAGAGTCCAAAGAAAGATCCAGAGTAGCTCATAATATTGGCGAACTGTCATTATCCCTGGATAACCTCCCTACAGTCTTCTTTTTGTGGTGAGAAAAGATCATTTTACGAGCTTATGCCATTGTCTGATTTTATGTTAACTGCAGCCCAATAATCTCTAACTGATATGCTGCTCAAATTTGACAAATTTGCCTCACTACATTATAAAGAAAAGAAGAATCTCATTGTCAACTTTAGGCATGCTAGAAAACAAGTAATTCAATATCATCTTACTGGATCTCAAACATGTCTATAAAATAAAGGATGGGCATTATTTTTTAACCATTCAATGCTCTGTTGTTTTCATTTGTTTGTTTTAAAAATATGGGAATGTCCCAATACATATCTGTAATTCCTTTCTCACATAGCTATCATGTATCAAATTTTGAGCAACCCCAATATATTTTCCTGTTAAGGTTTGAGAAAATCAAAATATGGAGACTTCTCAACCACGTTTCTAAAAAAAATATGAGTGTACCCTTTAAAATATTTAAAAGACCATCATATTTTAATAGAATAATGTTATTATTAATAATTTTCCTTTTAACTTATGTATTATATTACTTCTAATATGTCTTAACTGCATAATATTTATTTTAAATATATAATTTTTATAAATCTAAATGACATACAGGTTGTTAATTTTTTTAAAAAAGGATGAACTAAAAGCAACAAATCAAAATTAAGAAATCAATTATAGAAATCTTTAGTGGTAAGAAAACTTAGAAGTCACAAGTCCTATTCTTGTCAGGGTTTTGCTATTAAAATGTCTTCCTGGATGAACAGTATTGAACTTGTCAAATAATTAATTTTACTTGAAATAGTAAATAGAGTAAGTCTATTACCTTTTTTCTTTTTGTGCTTTTATTTGACTTTTTTCAAGAGACTGGGTTTCACTCTCTTGCTCAGGCTACATTATCAATCATGTTATCAATCATAGCTTATTGCATTCTTGAATTCCTGGACTCAAGCAGTCCTCCCACTTCAACTTCAGAGTAACTGGAACTACAGGAGCATGCCACCATGCACAACTATTTTTTCTAAATTTTGTGTAGAGATTGGGGTCTTGCTATGTTGCCAAGGTTGGTCTTAAACTCCTGAATTCAAGCAATCCTCCCACCTTGATCTCCCAAAGTGCTGGGGTTACAGGTGTGAGCCACCATGCCCAGCCTGCAAACTCAACATTTACTTATTATGTCTCTAAAATAAAACTTGAAATTATACTTTAAAAAAACATTTTACAGATATATTTCAAATATCAAAACATGATCATTTTATAGCTCAAAATATTTTTAAGGTATAAATCTGTGTTTTAAAATAATTTTAAAGTATATTCCAATTCAATTAAATATTTTTAAAATAGCCGGGCTCAGTGGCTCAGCCTGTAATCCCGCGCCTTTGGGAGGCTGAGGTGAGTGGACTGCCTGAGCCCGCGGGTTCGAGACCCACCTGGGCAGCGAGACCTCAG